TCATAGCAGGAGAGTCTATTAGGGGGTGGGGCCTAGTTAGAGGAAGCAGGTTTCTTCAAGTATACCTGTGAAGGTGTATGCTATCTTTACAACCTTCCTCTGTCTTCTGCTTCCTTGCTTCCAGGAGCTGAATCCCCTCTCCCCACCACAGGGGCCCTCTACCATGATACCCTGTCTTGCCCCAGACTAAGGCAAACAATTCAGACCACCTTTGTTTGAAACCATAAGCCCAAATCAATCTGTCATCTCCTCAGCTGTTTCACGTGTTAGGGCACAAAGATGAATAGCTGAGGAACACAGCATCAAAACAAATTAGAGAGGACAAGAAAAAGAAATCAAAGGATCTGGTAACAGCATTTAATTGTTCATTATGCATAACCTCACCTTAGTATTCTGCAAAAGCAATTCAAAAAAAAATTAAAACAGAAGGGAACACGAGACATTTTGGAAAACATATTTCTGCTGAATGTAGCGTTTGAAAGAAAAGAAAATATATAAGAAACAGAATGGAACTCCTAAGAAATCATTATGAATTTACTTGTGAATAAAAAATTAAACTGAGTGCATGCTTTTAAAAATAAAGAATGATGGAAAAAAGCCGATTTGATCACAGTGGATGACCTTTTTGATATGTGTCTGTACGTGGCTTTGTGAGCACTGTAAGAGCCAGGGTTGGTCCATGATCATAAGGAAACAGAGTCTTCCAAGCCTCTGGGTACATACTCATATGGACTTATAGCAATGGGGTCAGCAAGTGCAAACTTAACTAGACAAAACCCCTGTGGAGAACTGGGGAAATGGCCAGCAGGCCCCAAATTTAGCCAAAGAACTATTGGCAGATAATTATGGCTGGGTGAAGGATAGCTGATCTTCTTTAAGGGAAAGGTTTTAGATAGAATGACTAGACCCCAGTGGATGAACTTGAACCAAGGGACTTCTGGATACACAAAATTGACTTGATAGGCCTTCCTTAACATATATTACAGAATGCATGAAATCTGGTGGGGGTGGGGGATATGGGAGGATGTGGATGGGGAGGGGCATAAAGACGATTAAGATATTTTATATGAAATGCACAAAAATTCAATAAAAATACACATTAAAAAACAAAAACAGTCAGGCGTGGTGGCGCACGCGTTTAATC